TTGCCTTAAAGAATTAGGATCTCTTAACGAGTTTATTTTTAACTAAATCTGAGTGAAACATATCAAACCTCAGCTTTTAATGCAGTATAACAAGTAAATAAATAATCAGTTGATCTTATCTCCTACACTGCCTGAGTTTATGGTTTGTTTCATGATTCACGTTTGGATTCACTAAGCTAAAGTAACCTCATCTACTCATTGCGCAACCACGTTTCTTACATTCAGTAGAATGATTATAGATTTCTTCTGAGTTACTGAAACAATAAGCTGCACAGGTGATAGAGACTTTCCAGCTAAAGATCAGCGGAAATCAGCTGATGTCAAGATGTACGAAATGCAATGGGAAATTTATTCAGAAACCTCTAAGCATTGAAGAAGCTATTGAAGCAGCAAAGGGTTTCCAAAGAATACCCAACTGCTTATTTAACAAAAATTTAGAGTTTTGGCAATGCATGAACTGCCATCAGCTATACTGGGAGGTAAGTTACCTATCCCATCTTTTACCGTTGTGCATTCTAGTTTCCGAATGAGTATACCGTATGTCAATATCATCTGGTCCATCTATTTATTTGATACGGAATAAATTGTTTGTTTTGCTGATTGAACAGTCAATTCAGTCTAAACCATTTTTAGTTGCCAAGGATATTTATCAAATCAGTAATACACAATTAATAATTGTATGAAGATACATAATTGGTGAATTTGAATCTTGATATATTTAAAACTTCTTCATGTGATCATGTCTTAGAGCAGAAATCATCTCCACAAGATTCAGAATTTCCTATAGCTCTGATCTGTTCTGTCTCTAATAGTCAGTGTCGAGATACTTAATGTTTGTTGTGTGGTTTCAGGGAACTCAGTATCATAACGCAGTCCAGAAGTTCATGGAAGTATGTAAGTTGAGTGAGTGATTCACGTGAAGTGTTTCAGATCACTCTCACGTGATGTCAGTTCCTCAAGTACTTTTATCTTGTCTCTGAGGAAACAAGATGTGTACTGTTTTAGATTGTTTTACGAAGTTGAACTCATAGTTAAGTCTTGTGTAATGTTTTAGATTTTTGGTGACCGGCAGTGATGGTGATAGGTCCAGTGTAGTTATAAAGAGAGATCCTTGTAGAAGAGACCGCTTCAACGATGTCGAGAGGGACCTCTGACAGACCAATGGAGTTAAACTTCGGTCTCTTTGTTCCTGTTCCACCAAGAAGGTTCTGAAAATTCTCATTGTCCATCCTTAAACGAAGTCTTTTACCTCCTCGAGCATCTCCTCCACCTCGTCTTTTACCCCCATATCCTCCTCGAGCATCTCCTCCACCTCGTCTTTTACCCCCATATCCTCCTCCTCGAGTATCTCCTCCACCTCAAGAA